GATCCGAGTGAGGCTCTCTGCACCTTCCTGGCCAGTGTGGCTGCGCCCAGGTGGTGCCAGCCAGGTGCTGCTATTGCAGGTGGGAGTAGCACCCAGTCCACGAGGAAGGGTTCAACTCGCTGTGTGGCCCTTTCTCTTGAAAGTCCCCGTCCCCCTTTAATGTCCTGTTTGCCCAGTTCCAGGGGGCGTAGATGCACCGACCTACTGGTGGAAAGTACAGGATGAGCTGAACTTAGTGTAGGTGTGGGTGATAGAGACCTTAATTCTCATTTATATTGACACCAAGGTTGGCTAGGATCACAGGCCAAAGGAAACGTGTGCTTAAGACAATCATCCCTGCCTCTAAAATTGGTAAATGCTTTGCAATTGTCAATAAAACAAGCACGCCTTTACTCCTTTGTAATTTTTTTTTTTTTTAATCCCAAGGAAGTATATTGCTTCCTTCTGGTGTTATCTGTCAGATGGGAATGGTTATTTACAGTGTGCTTGTGGTTGAGATAGTTATCCACATGGCCTGCGATGTTTAGAATGAGGCACTGGTTAGTTGGAGGTGTTGTCAGGCGTTTTTATAACTTTGTCATTTAGCTATTTCTGTATGTGCCTATAGGCCCTTCTCAAAATTACAGGGTGTAAGATATGAAGGGACTATAGAGATCTTGTCTGGTGATTCCCTTGTTTTTATTCAAAAACCCTCCTTGTTATAGTTTCAGCCATGGACTTCATATCCTCAAAGATTTTGTCACTTAAATGAAATCACATATATCACTGTCATGGATGTAATGCTAATAAGCAATAAAGTTAAATGAGTGTACAAACACTTAGATGCTGCTCTTTGCGAATAGTCGCTTAATTTAGGCTGTCATTCTTCTGATCTTGGGTTGATCACATGCTGGCAGTATTAAATCAGATATTGTAAAAACCAGTAACTGCTCACAATATATGGTCTGCCAGTCATATCCTAGACATTTCTATGATGTCATCAAAAGCAAATTAGAATTTCTGCTCAAGCTTCAATAACCAGCGTAAGCCCAAGGGTTGATTTCATGCCTGCCAAAAGTAAAGAAACTTGACATTTTATTTAATTGCAATTTCCAGAAGGCTTTCTGAAATATTGTAAATAGCTCATGAACCTCTTTTTTGTCCTTTCCTCTAGTTTAAAGTTAATCTCTTTACCTCTGCTCTGAGCATCCCCCACCCAGTCTTGGGGTGTTGATGTCTACATCAGTTGTCCCCATTTAAATTACCTTTACTCTGTGCCCTCTTTAAACTCTTTGTCTCCTGGCTGATTGCCTTCTACCATTATGTTTCTTGTTTGAATAAAAAGTATCCCTGGATTCCACGTTCCTGTATTTTTACCTCTGTGTCTTTCTACTCTGACAAACATCTAGAAAGAATAGTGTTTCCTTACAGTGTTCACTTGCTCAATTTCCATTCTCTTAGCACATTTCATTGTTCTTTGTCGAGGCCTTTTGTTAAATCTAAAGGACACTTTATATTCCTTATTTCTCTGGACCATTTTATAGCATCTGACACTGTTGACCACTCTACCTAACATTTGATATCCATCCATATGTTTTACTTCTTCCTCTCTAGGCCCTTTCTTGGTCCCTCTAAATTATATTAACTGAAGGTCTGTTGTCTGCCCACTATTGGTTACTCCTTGGTGATGAGAAAAGGTCTTTAGTGCCCGTATCACTCTCCTGGGATCATTTGCCTTCTTTACACATGCACAACCCTGTCTGGTTGTCAGTCCTTATTTATCACTTCATCCCCATACTACATCTCTTTGTAAATCTCTTTATAACATCATATATTTCATTTTTTCACCATCAACCCAGTAATTCAAGATTTTGCATCATGCTTGCACTCCTCTAACTTCAAATCGCTCTTCCCCTCTCTGGCTCCATGCTTTTGCCTTGGATAAGGCATGATTTCTTGTCCACTTCTCTTACTCCTTTTGAAAGGGAACAGCGACGCTCAACAACTAGGCCACACACACCGAGAGGTCCGACTGGAGATTTTATTCAAGGAGGGGAGCAGAGAGAAAGAGCAGAGAGAGAGAGAGAGAGAGAGAGAGACAGAGAGAGACAGAGAGAGAGAGAGAGAGAGAGAGAGGGAGAGAGAGAGAGAGGAAGAAGAAGAAGAGAACAAAGAAAGGAAGGTCCTTTTATTGGTTTTGGGCTGGACTATTGCTTATTTATGAGGAGTGAGCTACTTTTAACCTATCACAGGCCAGGTTGCCTTTTATGGTTTAACTTTTCTGTCTTGCTGTGGCCTTGGTGGGAGGGAAACTAAAGATAAGAGCACGAGGTCATTTTAAGAGCCAAGAAGCACCAGGAAAATGCAGCCTGTGATGGCGCCATCAAGTCCCTAACACCTTCAACTTGTCTTCCTCAGGTCTGGCTCAAAACTCCAATCCTACACTCTCCCATCCCTCTGAGAAGAGGGAACTTTCTTAAACTGAAATCGGATTATTCTTGGCTGCTAAAAACCAGTTAGTGGCTTCATGCTTATTTGCAGCATCCTAAACTATTTAGAATGTTTACTGATGCTTGGCAGGTTGTGTTGCCTCCTAGTAATCTGAAAGAAACGAGCAAGGAAAGGAGAAACTACCTGAATGAGATTGTTTCAACTTCTACCTTGAAACAAACATTTTGCCTTCCTTCCTGACTCGGCTGTTTTCATCTGTGTTTATGACTGTGTCAATATCATTCACTTGGAAACCTGTTCTCTCATGTTTTCCTTCCTTATTTCTGCCTCCAGTTTATCTCTTCATTGTTTGCAAATGCTTCCTATCCTTTTTGTGGGGTTGGGTGTACATTGAGCCCGGGACTTTCACACTGAGCTCAACTGCCAGCCCTTTTCTTATTTAGTGTTTTTTAAATTTTGGAGTCAAAAGTTTCATGAAGTCTCCAAGTTTTCCAGGCTGGCTTTGAACCTGTGATCCTCCTGCCTTAGCCTCCCACAGTGCTAGGATTATTTGCCTAAGACATACTTCATCTTGTCACTTCCCTGCAAAACTCGATGGGTCAGTATTGGAAAAAAATGAGTTCCCAACCTTTCAACAAGTTTAAGTGTTTGTTAGATGACCTAAATCATCTCCATTTTCTTAGCTTTTATTTTATCCAATTATACTAAACTATGAGCTAGGAACTTTACACATAAAAATAGTTTCCCCCATATCCTATACTCTATTTATTCTCCCCCTCATATTTCCTATTTTATTTATTCTACTTGTTCCGTGTGTGTGTGTGTGTGTGTGTACTGCTGGGGATTGAACCCAGAGACTTTTCTGCCCTTTTTTATTTGTATTTTTATTTTGAGACAGAGTAAGTTTTAAGTCACTATGTTACCCAGGTTGGACTTGAATTTACAATATTCCTGCTTAATTAAATCTCTTAGAGTGCTGGGATTACAGGTATGTGCCTTGCCTGGTTTATTATACATTTATTTCTGTTTATTTTTTATTTATTCTACTTATTTAAAACTTATCTTCTTTAAAGATTTGCTAGCTTGCCTCTTCCATTAGTTTGTGCCTTTAGTTCCTTATGTGACTATAAATCTTTTTCTGATTTCTCATTAGCATTTTATTTCTATGTTTAAGTACATAGTCAACACAGGCTCCCTTTGTTCAGAACAGGTATCTTCATCACTCATGCATACATGTACATTAGGAAATTATCAGTTCTGTCTTCTGAGTGGTATTTCGATGCATTTTGTAATCTATTCAGACATTATGTTTACTTTCCTCTTCCTCATTTACTTCCCTCCAGATTTTATGTATTAAGGCAAGAGGTTTAGTCCTTTCTGTAATACTTGTAAAGAAAACTTGTGAACAAAAATATTATGGTTGTCTTCAATGGAAAACCAGGCATTGTCTAATCCTGTGGGGTTTCTGTACCTTTCATTGTTTTGAATTGTTTTACGTTGTTATAAATTGCGTAATATTTATAGTAATGCAAATGATTCTTCTCTATAAAATGCAAATTGTGTCTCATTTGGGATTCAGTTAATTATTGCACTGTGAACACTGAACAGATTTAAAATTTTACAACTGCAATATTAAGCAAATTTATTTCACCATTCCCGCTGACCCTTATATTTGTAGTTTTTAAAATTTGCCTTTGAATTGGTTGTAATATATTACTGGTTGCCTTTAATGAATGGATTCAGTAAAAGCTTTGACACGTTCATTTTATATTTGATTGAAAGTCAAAATTATACCTTCTTTTAAAAATTATCTTTTAGCACATGGATATGTCTCCAATTTAGTAAATATTAACATTTGTTAATTTCAGATTACAGATCATTTCGTGAAAAACACTATAGAAAATTGAGATACTTTTTTTCCTTAGGATTTTTAGGATCATGGTAGAAAATATTTTCAAAACTGAATTTTTGCTTATCTAGATGAGAAGACAGTTTCCTCTAGAAAATTGAAAAATGTTTATTTTTAATCATGATGAATTTGAACATCAGCCTTTAGAAACTGTGATCAACTCAGGTGTGCCCCAAACAAAACAAGTAACCAGTTTATATTTACTTAGCTACTTACAAACTTAACATGAAAAAATAAACCCAAGAGGAGCTGGGTATTTAGCTCAGTAACACTGTTCCTGCCTGGCAAGTGCAAGGTCCTGAGTTCAGTCCCCAGTACCAAAAGAAAACAAAACAAGAAATTCTGAAGTCTTATTAATTATTTTATGTTTATGTATTTTTTTTTAATTCTAGAAGTTTTCATCTTAAAATGATACAAAAATCCCAATAATTGCTTGGTGTTTGTAAAAAGTAAGTTTCATATATTACCTATTAGTTTTCAATATAAGAAAAACATTCTAAATTCAACTGTAATTGCGAGTGTCGAGTTTGTCTTTAAATTAATTGTAGTCACTTGAAATTACGTTTCTGGTGCTTTTCACCTAAATTCTTTTCTTATCTCAAGTGCATCTTTTTTTTTTACTTCCTTAACTTCTCTTCTATGTTATTTGTTTTTAGACCAGTTGTGTTTCTAAATACCTGTACTTGTAGGCAAACTCTTCTCACCATACACTGGTGACCTGTGGTGTAATAGTTTGGGCACAGGTGGAAGCAAAGGATGTGAGAAAACAGTGGACAGATTGGAAGCAAATGTAGAAGTGAAATTGGGAAAATACAGTGGTGGATTGAGTGCCTGTGGGAGAGAAGAGAGAATGAGGTGACTTCTGGTTCCGGCCTGAAGAACCAGTTGGTGGCCGTTGAGATCACTTTCTGGGAAGACTGGGAAGGAACAAGCTCAGGTAAGATTATTGCAGTTCTTTCATTTCATTCTTGTTTACTTTAAAGTATGTTTAAAAGTTAAAGCTCAGAAAATACAGTACATACTGAATTCTCTTGTACGACATTTCGCTTTGCCCTACCACCCTTAATACTCTTTAGCTCAGGGTGAAAATGGAAGCGTTCATCCACTCCATTCCCACCTTACATTTTTTCAGGTGAAACCAACACTTTTCATCAAAGGAGAGAAAAAAATGTAGTGAGACAATTACTTTGCCCTGAGCCTTCCTGAAAGACAAAAACAACTTCTCCTTTCTATGAAATAGTTACTTTAGATTAGCCTGAAGTTCACAGTTCACTGCTTTTTAAAAGCCCTGGTATCCCTTAGGGAGCGTGAATTATCAATGCCTCCCATTGTTTCTGAGGTGAAGGATGTTAACCATTGATGAGAGCAGATCAGGGCAATTGGAAAGGGAAAGGAAAATTCTAAATGACCTGCCTGGTTTCATAGCCTCATGGCCCAAATGGTGCTGACATTTTCATTAAGCAGGTCAAGAAAAAAAAAACAAAAAACAGTGGCAGTTAATTAGCTTAGAGTTTTCTCAGCTGAATTGGCCCAAACTGCTCTAGGCCCCAGGTAAGTCAAACTGCATCTTGGCCTTCCACTGTACACTGTATCACCTTTGAATGCCCATAAACAAATTAGGGCTGCTTTGGGGTAAAGCTGTGTTGCTCACAGGGATGTGTGAAAATGTATTAAGTAATGTCTGTAAAGCACTTGACATGATTTATTCTTTAGCCAGTTTTTCCTAAGGGGTACTTTGTCTCACACACTTCTAATTGCCATCCAGCTAGAAGATGAAGAGCAATCTTCCACTAAACACTTAGTGGGTTGAAGAGATGACTCATATAGATCTTTTTACTCCCTGTACACAGAAAATACACTTAACATTCCTCATCATGAAATTCTGCTTTTCTAACTAGCATATTCTTTTGTGACATTTAGATATCATTTTCATTTTGCAGGAGTGGCAGGTAAAACTCAGTGGTTGTTAGAGAAAAGTTTTTACTACGGGGGTAGAATAATGTAGTAAAAAGAGCGTAGGTTTTTTAAAGAACACTTGGAATCTGACACCTGGCTGTACCATTTACTAGCTAAACAATGAGGCAAATCATTTTACCTGTTGAACTTCAATTTTCGTACTTGTAAAATGAAGATAATAACACCTATCACTCAAGGTTGTTTTTATGACTAAATGAGGAATGTATAGTTCCTGACATTTAAATGATGCTCAATAAAAACTTCTTTCCTCCTTCAAACTTCCTCATCATTAGTGAACTCATGAGCAGTTGTTCTTCAGTCTCGTACTGCTCTGTATCCGCAAGTAAACATACTGTCACAGAGACTGAACGCTGAATTAACAGTCACCTGTTGCAGAAAGTTAAATAATATTTGGTCGAGCCTGTTAAACAGCAGCGTGGCATTAAAGGGCTCACCTTTAGTTAATCCATTTTTTCACCCTATATCCAAGTTTTGAATACATTAGTTTAACAATCCCATTGTTCTCTTTGGAATATAAATAACCTACTAACCTCCAGATGTTATTTTCTGTCTCACACACACATGCACACTCACACTCACACACACAGCAAGTTTCATTATGTTTTGGCCTGATTGTTTACATAGTTCAGCAAAAGCTAATCAAATGCTTCCTTGAACATTCAATATTGTTTGACTTACCAAGGCTGAAGAATTAAATTCTGCCAAGTAATTTTGTTAAGGAATATTGGATTTGATCATTTAAATGTCTCTATTATTTTTCCTCCTATTCCAAGACTAGGAAACCAACCTCAATAAAATCTGTCCACCAACTTCACCTTCATTACATTTAGATTCTGGCAAATTATCTTCTACTTAAGGTCACCAAACACCAAACATGTCAAGATACCTAGCTGGCCAGCAAGTGATGTGACTTATCGCCTGTAGGCTTTAACCCTAACACAGCTCTGTTTTTTCTTCAGTGAGATTGGTAGGCATTGCTCTTTCATCGTGGACTATTTCATATCCTGATAAATGTCTTCTCAAATATGAATCCAGATATGACCTTATATGACAAAATTGAGTAAAAATTCTTTATTAGAGTGAAATATATAATTTTTAAATAATTTGATTCCTGGTGAGAAGGCAGTCAGCTTCTTATTGCCCCTGTGCCAGCAACTTTATTTCAACAAAATGTGTGAAGACCCAATAAAGATATTAAATTCTAAAGGTGAACTCCTGAGTAGTTCTTCAATCTCATACTGCTCTGTGTCTGCAAGTAAACATATTGTCACAGACACTGAATGCTGAATTAACCACCTGTTGCAGAAAGTTAAACACTTAAATAATATTTGGCTATTTAAATTGAGAGTTTCAAGCTATTTTTTAAAAAAATGTTTCATTTGATATTGAGGGTTAAAGAGTTAGAAATACATTACACAAAGAGAACAGGCTGCACATAGCAGAAAGTAGACAACACATAAATACCAAAAGTGTTACTAACCAAATAACTATTATTAAATATTACTCATCAGTTCTTTGTTTATTGATTGATTGCAGTGATAAGGATCAACCTGAGGTCTTATGTATGGTAGGCAAGTACTCTACCAAGTGAGCTACAACCCTTTATAAATTTTACTTTAAGACAAGGTCTTTCTAAACTTCCCAGGGTGGCCTTGAATTTTCCCTCTAAAGTAGCTGGAACTAAAGACACCATTTCTGGGTATGTATTTATTTCATAATCTGCTGTGTCTTAGTCATCAGGCTGCTTTATGAAGTCATCTGCTTTTGTACTAAATCCTAGAAATCCTGGCTGAGTTCCCGTATACATCTGACAGTTATGTGGACAGTTTTGTTCTATGCTTCAAAGTTGCTACTCATGAAATACCAGTAGTGAATGCAGGCCTTTCCATGAAATTCTGAGGTTGGCTTTCTTTGAAGACAATAATTTTAATCCATGAGCCCTTTGGCAAGCATTGGAAGATAACAGAAATCTATCAGTGACAATACACAGTGACGGTTCAGTTACTGGGTAGTCAAAAATGTCAGAGATAAAGACAGCAAACTTCTACACTGAGGAGTGGCATATAATTCCTTCATGAGAATTTGCTCTATGCATTTTGGACAATGAGAGCACAGACACATCTCCAGGGTCTTCTGATATATTTTATAATGGATACAATCTCAGAAAGATGCACACAGGTTGTCTTTTATTTATAAAATGTATCCTTTTATTTGGTCACTGATCAGTTCATATGATCATGTTGAGCTAATTTTTTAAAAAAACGTGAAGAATAATAGTTATTTTTGCCATCACTTCTTTTATAAGGCAAAGCAACAAAATTTTAGAGGGATCATAGAAAACATAAAAGATAGTTTTATGTGTAAAGAAATCCCATGTTTTTCTGAATCAGATACACATTTGTGATAAAGAAAAATCAAGTCGAGAACTTCGAACCACCTCTTAAGACAGGACCATATGTGCATGAAGAAAACATGGTTCCATACCTAGTAACATAAAATACAATATTTTAAGTAACAAGGTGACACATAAGAAAGAAGTCTTAACTCTTTGAGAAATGAGGAACTTGCAATTTTCATTGCTTGATAATCGAAGGCTTGACAAAATCAATACACATAACAGAAAGCTATTCTGATGGTAATATGGAATTTCTTCCATGTATGCAAGTCAAATAAAACCGAAAAGAATAAACTTTTACTACCTTTTGTTAGGTGAAAAACAAATAGTTGAAGATAAGCTGTCTTTAAAAATACAGAAAAACAAATTCTAGTTTTACATTAGTACAATAACAGAAAAAGTTTCATGAGCTTTCTGCCCTGTTTAAAATTATAAGTAAACCTATTGAAATGGAGTAAATTTTATCAAAAATTGAGTGTATTTTCTTGTTTCTTTTCCAAATCATTATCTGAAGTTGAGGCAAGTAAAATTTTTTTCTGCGTGCCTATAACTTTCTGTATGTTTAAAGATTTGTCCAGGGGCTGGGGATTTAGCTCAGCGATTCGATGGCCTGCCTTGCAAGCGCAAGGACCTGAGTTCAATCCCTGGTACAAAACAAAAAAAACAAACAAACAAAAAAAAAGATTTGTCTTACACAATCCTTTTTATATTCTAGAAAAACCAGATCGTTGACTGTAAAATAGAAGTATTCTCCTCTCTTTGAAAATAATAATACATTTCAAGATCTTGCATTCATATGCCTACTTTTTTGTTATGCTTGCTTCAGTGTAGCCTTTTTTTTTTTTTTTTTTTTTTTTTTTTTTTTTT